ATTGTAATATTACTATAATTATTGTTATTATTGTGATTTTTTAATTATTATCATCTATTCACTTTTTGATAATAATAACCACGTCATATGTTTTAAGAATAATTAAAAAATAATTGACAGATACAATCAGAACAAGAAGTAGTTAATGAATAATTAAAAATAGTAACTTATCAAATAATATGATTATGGTAATAGAATAATGTCAACGAATTACAAGACAAATACTATATTTTCTATTTCTTTTCATGGAATTTTTTTCAATGACATATAATCGTTTTTAAACGTTGAAAATGTTTGATTTCCTTACACGATTTTAAGTTTTCCTGTCCTTATAATATTCTAATCGTTGTACATTTTGTGCAATAAATATTTCGATACTCCTGTACCACGTCTACAAAACGGAAATGGTAAAAAAAAATGTAGAATAGCCACAGGAAACGACAAAAGAACAGAAAGGAAAATCTGTAGGAAATTCGCAAATACTTTGACCGGTCAGATTGATCCGAATTGAAATAATGATAGGTTAGAAACTCTCTTTACGATAAATTATACAGTCATTATGGGTTGCCTTTCATCCGTCAGGAAAGTGTCAATCTTACTGGACATGCTTTCGTGACTTCGACTTAAGTACCTACTCAAATGGACGCATTCAATTTTCGAACGTATTAATGAACTCCAACTTTCCATGTCAAGGTATGCAGATTTTTGTAAATTACGTTAAGGTATTTGTCAAAATACTATGAAAACAAAGTGAGAATAAAACGAAACGTAATTCGATAAAGAGAGAGACATATTGCACGACAGTCAATAGAAATCTTAAAAACTAATGAAATAGTTATATCGAAAATATAAGTAATTTTGGGAAAGTAAGATTACGATATAAATTGGATCATCACTGAAAATAATAAAAAATAGTTAGTTTTATCGAAATAAACTTTGATCCAAATGATTGCTCAAATAAAATGTGTTGCGTTGTGTTCGTGTATAAACAAAATGTTATCTTAATTAATATTGTTTCAATAAGAATGCGTGTAATATTTAAATATCCGTCACCGTTTCTTTAAAGAAATATAAATATTGTGCCCATGCATCTAACTAATTAAAATTTATAGTGTTCATGACTATAAGTTGTTTTCGTCAAAGAATTTGTTGTATCGAGTGTTGTCGATTTATTTAGCTATCCTTCACGAATGATTCATCGAAACCATGCACACTGCATGTAAGAAATATGCATGAAAGATGCTTCGACGATCATCAAGTCGATACTTTCAATGCAGACGGACACTGCAGCAGTAGTTTTTATTGAATCATTTAGTGCGGGTTTAATTTAGAATATTAAACGTTTAAAAACAATTTAACGTTGCCTGAAACGAAAAAAAATATTTCTTGTTTCACTAAGTTATTAAACTATCGACTGAATTTACAATTTATCACACATTTGCATTCTTAAGCGAAGTGTAGTTTGCAATTCGAAAGTGAAACAAATTAATTTAAGATTGATTACAAGTATACATTATACGATGTACGGTCGTGGACTTTCCACAAAACTAACGAAATCAACAAATGTGCTGAAATTAACGAAAAAAATATTTACATGAAGCAACTCTTCGTTTTTCTCGTGAAACATTAATACTCGTAACAGACTCACTGTACATATTCATTAAAATAATAACTCCATTTAAAATGAAATAATCGTTTAATTATGGAAAAGCAGGGCTCTAATTAAACGATAAAATATTTTCTTCAATCAATTAATAATTTTGAATTAATTATAAATATTAAAGCTATAAATCATAATTAAACTATCAATTTTCCGTATCGATACTACATAGAGCAGCGTAAAATACAGTAAGGTAAAGTCTCAGTAAAAACTTGACCAGAACATTCCTTCATTTATCACATAAACGTTTCAATAGAAACAAATGAATGTCCGTTAAAATAATCTTTTTCACTTACAACGAATGTGTAGCGGATAATATTCAGGAACTTCAGGCAAACTTAAGATTGCTTGTAGATATCCAAAGTCTAATAATCGTTGCTCGAGTTTCTAGTTTAAAGTTGCCTTCGATGCGTCTTTCAGCAATTAAAGTCGACTTACCGTCCACATTATCGGAACTAATCCTCTTCGGCGCTGATACGAGCACTAGAGCACTACGGTATCGCGTCGATACACGCGTCTTCTTTGGCCGCGGAACAAATTATCCACTGCTTAACGTTGTACCAGCGGTAACTCACTCAAGCGCTGAAACACACCGCACGTTTCATAAGGTGAATGCACCATCAACCAGGAAATTTGTCCACGGGGTGATCTTAATAAATCACCGGCGGTGCCCGAGTCCCTGGCGTCGATCAAACAAACGGTTTAATTGATTCGCCGGCTGGATCGATTATGTGCTTCACCGACTGATTGACTTAGTGACTTACTGACTTACTGACTTACTGACTGACTGAGTGGCGAGTACAACTTGCCGGCGATTCCGACCAGCCAAAGGAAGAACAAGTGGGGAGGTAGGTGGGATAACTTCTCAGAGAACGAAAGTACTCGTCTCGCATTTAATTTACACGATCGTGTAATGGAAGAAATGCTTATCAACAGCTTAAGAATGAATAAAAAATATACATCAAATCAATGGATATTTGTTAAAAGTTGTATGCATTTTTATACGTTGTATGTGTGTGACGAAGACAATGCCATACGTTTAATTTAGATTCTTTAGAACGATCATTGGATGGAGGAACATTTCGGAAATATTTATTAGTTTATCGAAAATGCTTTCTAGAAAATACTGAGTAGTACTGGAATTGGAGAATTTTGTTGTTTTCGTTGTCTTTTAATGGAATGTTACCACGTAGTTTTGCGTTTTATAGGTAGTCATCAGTGGTATGGTCAATACTGAAAGATGATATTGACACGTTCACTGTCATTGGTGATCGAGGCTTCTAAATTGTCTGAGAACAATTGTAATAAGAAAGTTGATGTCGAATAAAAATATTTAGTGATATAAGTAGCTAGATAATAGTGTAATATGAGTACTGTGATATTAAACCATTAATAATTATTTCTAATACCGTTCACATTTGTTATAATAGAATAAATATTATCATATAGAATGATTTCCTGTTTCCTTATAAAAAATGTCAAGTTTCGCATTTATTAATTTTTATATGTATACTCTTCAATTCTTGTTAATTCGAAGCGTTTTAAATTTAAACCCTTCAGTAATTGGAATACACTCATAAAAATGAAAATCTACAGAAACAATTATATTCTATTAATATAATTGAATATAGACAGATGTTTGATTAGAATTATTTTTAATGTGCATTTTGTAGATGACGCTTATTAGTGATTATAATCATTTGATGAACGTAGGTGTAACTTAAAAAACTAATCATATAAGAGATAATTGATTACGAAATATACGATTCATTTTTATTATTATTGAACAGATTATGAAATATTTGATTCATTTTTACTATAAATCATTGTAGCATGCGATGCAATCAATTCGGAAGTGATAAGAGATGTTTGAATTTCAGCAGTTCAACAACCTCGCTTCTAGAGAAACGAGCATAGTATCAGTAGTAATATCATCTTTTACAGTATTATAATTAAAAAAGTACCCAATACAAATTTAGTTTCAATTAAAAATAAATTTCATAATCCTACATAAGATATTATAGAAACTATAAAAATTAATCCAATAATAAATAAACACTTACGATTTCTCTCCTAAGCAGTTACTCAATATTTCAGTGTAACAAAATTAAGGGAAACAAACACGTTTGACTAATTAAATTCTTGGAAGGTCTTTCTCATAAACTTTCTACGATCGTAATGCGTTACATTAAACCTTCGAATTTCATAAAATTTACAGCAAATATAAATATTACATGCTTCTTGAATACGAACAAGTGTTCCCGTATGACTTTTCCCTCGAAAATTTGACAAAATCAATTGCAGTTACGTTCTCGAGCAATATTTCCGCACATTCTGTCTTCGCTAGAACGTAACTACCGCGGACTGTTGTCAAGTTGAGCCTATTTCTCACAATACGAAATACTCGGTATGCAATTAAAGAAAAAAGTTAACGTCACTTTCAAAAATCGAAAGTAACATATGCTATGCGCGTGCTGCGACAGTGTGACCCACTTTCGACTCTACAATTACGTGAAAATAAACGAATTATCTACTTACGTATAGACAATGACGTGCGCAATTACAATGTTTTGCGTTTCGAATGAAAGTGTTCGGCGCTTGAAGAGATCATTTCTTAGAAATCTCGACTCTCGCTGTGGTAAGTGTTCGCTTTTTATAGTTAATTTAAACGTAACGTACGCGTGCGAAGGGGTTTCTCTTCTATTCAGCGGGTTCGTTTAGTCAAGAAATGAAGCGAAGTTTATCTGCCGATGGATAGAAAAGGTTCTGGAATTTTACTTCAAGCGTATTGTCTATCTATACAAAAAAAGTCACGATAATACGTGACTTAGAATACAGGTACTTTTTTGGCATTTTCCGGAAATATAGTTTTTAACGTTTTCTTCGTGTTAAAGGCGTCTGGAACATTTTTGTTTTATACTACCTTTAATTCAAATTAGAAACTTTAAATTTCATAATTTTTTAGTTTTTGGTTAAACTTGATGATAGTCGCACTCTTTTTAATTAAAAAGGTGATTGTAATATACTATCTACACTATTTTTTGGAGATTTACGATTTAGAAATACAGAAATATGTACACAGATTGTGCAGGATTTTTCTTATGGTTTTTTTTCACTATCATATCTTGTAACAGAAGCAATGAAATTGATTTAAAAATATACGTATTACATTATTTTTCAAATGTTAATAAAGCATGTGTAAGTATTAATATGATTCGCGTTTGGTCGAAAACAATGTGATAAATTGTTATTGATTTTTATTCTGAAAGAAATTTAGGTTTTGTTATAAAAAGATTATTCAAAATTGTATGCCTAGCTAAACCTTGAAAAAGAGTTTACTTATATTTTCAAAGTTATTAACAATTTTTAGTTGCACAATATCAGTCAATATTCTTCCATTGTTTATTATTTATGATGAACGAAAATAGAACGAGATCGAATCAGAATTCATGATGTAAAAAATATAAAGAATTGAATAATATTTGATAAAACCGAAAGTGGATTGTGCGGAAATTTTTTTTTAACGTTTCCCAATTGCTTATATCTTTGATAATATTAACTTTTTGGTCTTTTTACTAAGATTTTTCTCGTTGTAAATTTGAATCCATTAAATCTAGGATTTTCGTAAATTAACGTTATTAATAATTAATGCGTAATATGTTAATGTTAATTGTAAAATGAGATATAGAGATTCGAAACAGGAAAATAAATAAGAAAAATCATTTACTACTTAACCAAATATTTTATACTTATAAGTACAATATTTTCGTATACAATGAAGGATAATTTACAAAAGTAAGAAATTGAAAACACGTGTTTACCATGTCACATATTTACAGATGTGTAAGAACTGTTGATAAAGAGTTAAGAATTTAATCTTATTTATTTATGAAGAATCATTTTATATTAAAAGAAACATTCAAAATATATGAATCCTAAGACCACGAAATTTACTTTTTTTTGTACTAAGTACGATAAATTGAGCTAACAATATAAAAATTATATCGTATTTCTACTTTCAATTGCATTCGATTTTTATATTCCAACTGCGTATGTACTCGAAACAAACTTCATATTATTTTCATATATATTATATATTACCAATGTTTATATTCTAATATCCCAGCTTCTGTTCCTATAGAATTGTATTAAATATAATATTGAAATATTTATCATTCAGTATACAATTTCATACACAAATATTAAAAAGATAATAATTATTCATAAAAAAACATTCATTTTAAAAATCATTTCTCGTATTCATAAATAATATTCTACTACTGCTACTCTGAATTTAAATGATCTCAAATTTCTATCCAGCCATGCATACCATGAAATCTCTACATTACATTATTCATTATAAATAACGATTTATTTTGTGGAACTGTTTTTTAATCCTGGGACAATCTTTCAAACGCATTTTGTTGTCGAAAACATTTCAGCATTTTCTACAACTAAACGATACAATTAAAGAATCAACTTTTCTGATACTCATTTCTAATGAATCTTATGATTATAAAATTCCAAATAAAAACACAGCTTACAATGTAACTATGAAAGGTTTTTGTAAATAATTTTCTACACTAAGTAGTTTACTGAATTTTTCAACCAACTTAGAGTTTATCCCTTCATTGCAATTCATCCTATTACTTTTATGTTTCCACAGTCAGTGCAACATATTATAGCATCCACATTTTGAAAATATCGTCCTAGGATCACTCATGGATAATCATGCACATATTCCTTCATAAAATACTCTATTCTCAGGATACATTAACTAACACTGCTATCCTTGTTTCTGTACTGACACTGTACACAAAAAATAGGATAAATGGTTCCCTATAATCATTGCGCAGTAGTTCCAATTCAAACCGATTAAAGACGGATATACAAAAGATAAATAGTTTCACAATATATTAAAGATTCATCGACAAATATATATTATAAAAGATTGTTTTACTTGCGAACGAATTCAGAGATCTAGAAAGGTGCAATACTTTTAGTTCTGCCCGAATCTTCTTCACATTAGCACCGTAATGGGATTCGCCTAATATTTATTCGCGCGAAAAACTATGTTTAGTCGATAGTCAATTGTCTAAACGATCCATCGAGACCAAATAATTCGTCCTGAGTTTTTGGCTTTCCTGGACGGAGTGCCTCGTTAGCTTTCACCGCTTCCTGTTCTGCGAACCACGGACCGTACTCTTCTAATTTTTCCATCCAAGTATCTAGAACAAAACAGACGGTCAAATTCATTGAAATACATTAAACTTTCCATATAGGCTAATTCAGGGAAAGATTTTTTTCTGAATAATTGCTTATATGATTAATGCAATTCTTCACTTTACAATTTTTCATAAATGCATAACAAACCTTTGCGAAGGAAGATTCTTTAAAGTATACAAAACCTTCTGCAGATTCTGCCAAGTTACACATCGAATGCATAAATAATAGAGAATAAGCAAACTATGTACTGATTTCTTGCTGTTTGAGTAGTCAATCATTAGTTTGTTACTTAGTATTCCAAAGGTGAAAGTTTGATGTCGGCAAAACGTCGTCTTTCGTCCGCAAAGGGTTAATGATGAGTGTTCATTGAACACTGTTCGAAGTTTCCGAGTGTGAGCTGCGCCCTTTAGGAAAGATTTCCCGACGTTTCGTTAGCACTGCAGGTAGCATCGTTAGGGGTCTGCGGACTTGTTATATGTAATCCATCTATCACTTGATGTCTAGTGATCAGTTTTCATCATTTCACATTCATGTCATTTTCGATACTAATTTGCTATTCATCAATATTGCCACAATTAAACCTATAAACAAAACATGGCAATCGACCTCTCTTGCTCCTGTACTATCCCGCTAGCCACCGAATAGTAAACATACTATATCAATACAGAATAAGTTAAAAAAATATAATCTATTTTTCTTAAAAAGAAGTATTACATCATAACTGTCATTAACTCCTAACCAAAGGAGATATATTTACAAAAGTAAATACAGATAAGAAGAATGCTTAAATAGTTCTCTATGCAAGATTCAGTAAACAGCTAGAAAGTTGAAGACATAGATATTTGACAATCTAAAGGAGATTGGTTGCAACGCTAGCAAATCATCGGGAAATCTTTCCTAATGGACATAGCTCACACTTGGAAACTTTCAAAACTGATCATAATCTTTCTGTCCGCGAAAGCTTCAAACACAATCATGTATCATTCGTTGATTGCAACAGAAAATTCCCTGCGTCATTTATACGCGAAAGGCTACCCATCAGTGCAGCAGGTGAACTAATTACAGACGTACCATGAATAGCTTGAATTGGTCCAGCATCACCACCGTATTCTGTTGGCAATATTTCTCTGGGAATGTAGTCGTACAATGTTTTCAAGTCACTGTGCATAAATATTCTGTTGCGAATCTTCTCCTTGAGGAATGGTTTCACGAAATTGACGATAGTGTCCACGATTGGGCTGACGTTCACTACGTGCACCTCTTTCACCTTCACAGGATAAGCTTCTTGCACGCAAACCAGGAACTTCTTTACAATTGTGGGAGTAAATTTGGCAAAATGCGACGGCGTGGCTACGCTGGCATCCAGGATGTAGACGTCGCCTGCAACACCCGTTAGCTCCTCCTTTAAGCGAATGTCGCCTATCATTAGCACTATCTTCATTCCATCCGCTACGTTCGGAGTTGGCGTGTCCTTGTTTATTCCTCGCATAATGATCACACGACGACCATTTTTTGTTAGACCAGGTAATGGTGGAATGTGTCTGAAATTAGAATGGAATGTCATGTATAGATATTATATAGGGTCTGTGTTGTAAGACGCTGGAGTCTTCGAACCTTCAAGACTTAATTTTAAAGGCTGAGTTTTGAAAGCTTGGAATGTAATAAAACTCGAGTTTTCGATGTACAAGACCTGGAGCTCAATGAATTTCGAGTCTTCAAAGTTTTAAGATTCAGCCTTGAAGCTTTGAAAGCTCGAACTGAGTTTCGAGAACTTTTAACGTTTGAGTCTTCAGGCTTGAAAACAGTAGAAGACAGTCTGTCGCTACATTGACACGGCATTGAAAATTTCAAATTTAAAGTTCAATCTTCGAGACATATGAAATTTCCTAGGTGTCAGCTTTGCGGATTTAATATAGTAACAGACGGCTCGAGTCGTGGAACTTAAAGACTCAAGTGTTGAAGACTTCATCTCTTAGAGCTCAAATTCGGTAATACTGTTAATTTTCATTAATTTTAAATGGAAGATTTGTTCTATATAAAAACTCACGTATGATACCGTAGATGTGAAGGTATTCCCCCGATTAAAGACTAATTGATGTTTGAAAATTGTTAATTCTTATGGAAAATGTTGTCTTTTTTAACTGTACACTTTCGAAAACGATAAAGAATTTGAAATGCAATGGTTCTAGGATTATACATTATGAAATCTTTTGGATTTTATGTAACATATACTGCACAATCCTATAACGGACACGTAATGCGAAGAATTTCCGAAAAAGGTAATAAAAAAGGAAAGAAACATTGTTCTTACATAAGTTTGGCGATATCTTTCAGTTCTGGTCTCGTGATGTCTCGATTAGAGAAAAACTCGGGAATTGCTGCTCTCATTGTGAAATACATGTCCAACTTCCTTTTACATTTTTCCAAGGAAAACTTGCTGCCACGAAGAAACGTCATTATTCTAGAATCATCTATGAGGAATAAACTGATGTAAGACAGGTAGGACAAGAAATATTAGATAATTGTGTGCATGTAATCTCCAAAGAAAGGTGGAAAATTACCGGACGAATAGAATATTATAACAATTGTACAAAACAAATTGTTCTGCCTTGTAATGCGGGAAAATAACCTGATTCGTCGTATTTATTTCAATTCAAATAATTGTCGAAAAACTTTCACAAATTTGCTTATACATAGTTCAATGAAACTTTCAATCTTATTTCAATTATTTTTCTGTATTCCTAGCAAATGCATTATTTTCTATTAAGGCAAGAAATCGGCAGACACACACAAAAATAATTGACAGATTTTTATAAATAGTTTTTTTTATGTCAACTCATGCTGTTTTAAATACTTTCTTGGTATTTGTAATACGAATAACTAAAGGCTTCTAATGTAAAAAAACTAACGTATACGTGATTAATTAATTACTGACATTAACAAGGAAAAAAGTGTAATGTATTTGTTTCATTGACACGTGTATATTGATGAACAAACACTTATGACGTGTTTTTTAAAAGTGATTACGTTTTTAATCATTTAATGCATAAGAACGCAGATCGAATGTGCTGTATCATTGTTATTAGGAATACACTTAATGAACAAAATGTCATTTGAAGAAGATGCTATATGTAACACAATCGTAATTATAATACTAAACCGTGCATTATTATGCATTTATAATAGTTATAAGTGTTTAAATTTCAATGCATTAACATTTTTAATCAAGTTCAATGAAGTTTTTACGTTCGTGTCTTCCCAAACATGAGACAATTTGCGTTAAAGTAAAAATTTTCTTCTTTGATTTTTAGAAATTAAATTCCATTTATTCGTAACCAAATCATTTAAATATAAACATTTTACAATTTAGTTACCTTCGAACTTTGGTAAGTGCGGTTGCTTAGACAGCCATTCTTTGATGATTTCGAGGTCTCTATCGCGTGTCGTTACATCCTCATTTAACTCCACGCGAATCAATTTTGACATCTCCTCCGTTGGTTGAATCAGCAACATCTGCAAATTGTTTCAAGATACATCAATGTGTATATACCTTTAATCTTTTAATAGCACAATCGAGTCAAAGTAATAGAGGGAAATATTACTTTAATTCTAAAATATTTAATAATAAAAACATTAATTATAATGTATTCTCTTATTGTAGTTATATACGGACACGGGAAACAATTGCAGCTATCTCAGTTTAAGCACATTGTAAATCGGAATGTCGACTTGATTAAATACACCCCTGTAACCAGTGATTAATCTGCACTCCGTCAGCTCAGTAAATGCATTAATTAATGTAGTTCGTCGCTCGTCTTCGCATTAATTTTAACGAATCCCACACAACCTGCTACTGACATTTTTGTTCAATTTTTAACAGTAAAGGCTGGATTGATGGCTATTAAATTATTTTATTTCCAATTTGAAACAATATGTAAAACATTTAAAAATAATGTTCTTAGACTTTACATTATTTCGAATAAGAAATTATAAAAATTGTTTGAAGAAACAAAGTGACATAACTCAAACAAAATTTTTCGTATTTTCATTAAATTTTCATTAAAAGGAATCCTAAGAAATAATGTAACATAATTTTATCAATTTTGTTTGCTTTTTGTTTTATTATTACTTCAATTTCGTATTTTAACAAACAGAATACTATTTTCTTACTTAAAAATTACTAACCCTTTATTCTATAGAGGCGATTTATCGATTCAACATCCCAAAACCATAAAATTGAAAATTAGCATCAAATTTCGTATAATGTATCAACATATGAAACCTTGAAATAAAACAATTCTGCCCCTTATCATATACAAAATATTTCTTCGTATTAGTCGCAAACTGTGACATCGATATCATCAGAAAACAACGAATATTTATAATAGAAAATATTCCCAAATGCAAAGGACTGTTGATGAAGTAACTTTTATATGTCTAACAGGGACAATCGTAAAGCCAAAGATTAGTAAATACAACGAAGTTTCAAGGAAGTTAAAATTTTTCGATTTCTCAATGGGTATAGAAGCGGCAGTACATGAAATCGCTGCAGAAATTTCGGTCGTAAGTAAGTAATAGTAAGTACATGCAGCAATGTTGCACAAGTTAAGCGTAATGCTCAGTGTAATAGGTTGCGTAAATGGTCGACATACATATATATTGTATACACATCGTTCTTATGTGAGAAATTAATGCTGACCAGAAGGTAGCTTGCCCAACGCTAAACTTTCTCTAACTCGTCACGGCTGACCGAGAGGGACCTGTATTTCACTTTTTCTAGAGAGAGAAGTCGTACGTCCGCGATGCTTCTTGCGCGATCTTGTTCTCGATTGTAGATGAATCAGGTGACTGATTTCGATCATATAGTTTTACTAGAAAATATTCTTGTTGGATGATCAACTCAGAATCTTCGATTCACAGGCATTAATAAAAATTTTAAAGTGAGTTCTCTCGTAAAGATCATTAGGGCAAAAAAGAGGTTTGTCATGAGTCTACTTTAGACTCTAAAGGTTTGAAAATCTAAAGATTTTTTAAAATCTCGAGGATTAAGGAAAATCATAAATATTACTCTTAATAAAATTATTCTTTTTAATAAGAATTTTGGTTATTGAATGCTACATTTTTTATATAGGAATGTTTAATCTTCATTCGAAATGTTCGTGTACTTTTCGTTATTTAAATTATCGTTGAATTATATTCTTGAAAAAGGGTTTTGTTCTGCATATAAAGATCAAAAGTAAAATTTTTTCATTTGGCATCTTTTTTAGAAAAAATCAAAATCAAAACTTTGTTGAATACACATGCACCTGATTGAGTTGACTAAATATTTCACATGGAAGATAAATTGGAAATGTGTAACGATGTTTTCCCTTGAACACTCAATTTCGACAAAATCCAATTTGAAAATTTGTCGAACACAACTGCTTTCGGCAACCTGTTGACGGAACATAGTCAACTTTGACTTTTTGAAAACAACGTTTGAAATAAAAAAATTTGTTCTACATATATGTTACTTATTTTCTGACGTAGAATAATATAGTAGAGAATAACATTATATTATTTTTCGTAAGTTCACAGAAGACGATGAAATTGTAGGTTGCTTTTACAGATAAGGTACCAAATAGAAAATGAAAATTAAAACATTCATTTATCAATGTTATTTAGAATTCTATTTTTAATGTCAATTTTATTCTATTTCAGATCGAATAAATACATTGTTACTTATTCCCAAAGCTTGTATGTATGAACTTATTACCGCGTGAAAGGGTTAAGAATTATGCGTTCACTTTTGACACACGAAAGCCCCTTGTTTTAACGTGATGACTCATGAAACATTTCCACACAAAATTCCACAACCGATTGACATGGAAATGAAAGTTACGCGGCCAGCGAAAAAAGTTCACCGGTACTTTAATTCATGTCTGCAATGTTCACTTAACGAGTTGGTATTTTTTTACGAGTGGATATTCCGAAACTGGTTTTGCTTCCGTGAAGTATGAAGAATTTCTCCATCGCGAACGTGGACACTCTTATTTTACGCAAGTACTTCGAGTAATGAAAGCTATAGACTAAACAAATAATTTCTAAACCCGAAATGCTCTATTACGATACGAACCACTTATGTTCGTGTCATCAAAGAGAATTCAATCTACGTTCGAAATGTAAATATGAAAATACCTTAGCACTAAACATAATGACAAATGTACACATTTATTTCTAAAGTAATCAGGCGAATAACGGATTACAAGATAAAAGTAAACAAAGCAGATGATCGATTTTTCGAAATAGAAATAAAAATAGACGGAAAGACAAATATTGAAAATATGATTAATCGGACAATATAGGAATCGATATAAAGTCATACGGAAGAAATAAAACGCAGAATTTTAAATTAAATTTTAAAATCGGTTAATTAACCAGTCACGGTACGTTTAATATCAAAATCGAGAAATATATGGCCGTATGTCTGGTCAGACTGCTAATCTTTCGCAGTTTTCGGAAAATTTAAAAGTGCATAATTGCACAGAATGCATGTAATACGAAAACACATGAAACTTCTGTAGTGCAGTGCGTTTTATAACGTTTTCTATCATACTTCTATTTCTTTAACATGCTTTCTATCAGTCACATAATTGTATCGGATATTGTACTTTAAAGTTGTGACATATGACATTGTGTTTAGGCATTGACTTTGTTTAGCTTCAGTTCCTCAGAATTTTATATAGAATCACTAATATACAGAATACAATACAATATTTTTTACCAAGTTAATTAAAATAAATTTATTAAGAAATGATCGACAAAAACACATTTACGATTTTAGTAATTCTAAAATAAATTATAAATGGGTCTTTCTTATCCATTCTACTAATATTAATATCCAATATTAATAAAAAATGGTATAAGTTGTTAATACGATACAGTGATGATTTCTGTTGAAATATTCGTTCTGTTTTTATTGATTTTAAAGGTACAATTCGATAGGGCACAGTCCTCGGGATATACGACTAGAGAATGTGGTGAAAGGACTATACATTTTTTTAAGTCAGGACGGATTACCGTCATCCGAAAGTGGGAGAAAAACCAATACCAATTTTTTCACTCGGAGAAAGAAGTAAGTAAGCGGTTAGTGCAACCAAAAAACATAAATACATCTAAAAATCATCCTTGGTAAAACCTAAAATTAGGCAACCTGATGGAAAGGCGACTTGCGGACGTGACGAAGTGATGAAATCACTAATAATATGTAGCGAGTCTTTAACACTAAAACTACCGAGCATTTAATACGATTAATATGTAATCAACATAAAAATTATAACGATAGATTTTTCCAATTTCTTCAGACATTCATCATAGTATTCATGTGAAACTATTTGTTTTCAAGATCATTTCGAACATTCAATGCTTTTAAGATATCAATAATTGTGGAACAAAAAGATCGAAACCAGTCATTTTGACTGGTACGGTAGTTCTACTGTTAATTTTTATACAAAATTTCTATGAACTTTTTCTTATTTTCTGCTCCAAACATTTCAATGTCTTCTTTAGGCATATTTTTTAGTCCTTGATGCTGTCAAGTAGCTATCCTTCGGAACACGAAAGTGTACCTAATACTTTTCCACGAGTTTCAATGATGTTTAGGTTTATAGACTTCATGGGCTACTGCAAAACATCAATTTTATCCAAAATAAGCTACTACTTTGCAGTATTAAAAAATATAGTTCCATTTGACTATGCTACGGAGATATTTTGATAATTATTCGTTAATTATGTCCACGTATGTTTAACTATTTATTTTGATTGAAATCAATTTTACATCGGTCTTTACCAAATATCCTATTACTGTCGCAATTATAATATCTTTATCATTTATGTGTTGTATCTATAGCCTGATTTCGTTTTCCTTTAAAACATGAAAGTAGCTTAAAGAACCTTATTAAATTAAAATGATTTTCGTCTGAAATAATAATTTTTTCCCATTTTCGACGTCAGTGTTTTGATTCAGTCAGATTTTGCAAATTCTAATCTTGTCTGTTCACGATGTTGATTAGCGTTGAAAACATTTTACGTGGTTTTTGGTATTTGCAACCTTCTATTACCCTTTGACCTCTCCTAATACTGATTGCTACACCATCTTCTGCTGCTATTTGCCGTGCGACCAATGCAGAATTGGACGCATGCTTTCGCTTCAGACTTCTCGTGAATTTGTTGCTTTTGGGCGACTGTCTGAGTACTTTTTAACATAGTTACCATTGTTTCTTAAATAATTATACACTACACGTTAAGATTTTGTCTTTGTAGCAGAATGATCTCTCCCCTTTAAAATTCTTAATTGAATTAATTTTGGTTTCGTTTAATTTTTTCTATGTCCTATTTCATATGAATGAATCATTTTTAATATTGTACACTTGATATTAAATATTCAACATCGAAAGCTTCTCTGATAGATATCGCGTTGTCTGCTTGAAGCAAACTGTCTTGTAACTTCTCGCATATACAAAAACGTGTTTTCATTTCTTATTCAAGTACTTGGCACTGTGTCTTTAGATGAGTCATAGAACTCTATAAATGCTTCCGTATAAAGTAAATACTAACATTAGAAATAATGCACGAATAGAATCTCCAACAGAATACAATTTCTTTTCATATCTTTACATGATTTATGGTTTTGTTGCTGAATACAGCTTCACTGCATTATTAACACTAGATTTACCGACATTTATTGTACAATTTATTCTACTGGTTCCAGAAAAATTGATGTTCGTTCATTTCGATTTTGGAAATTAAAGATATTAAGATTGATCATTAAAATATACATTTGTGTTACTGTACCAGTTAAAATTGAAGTAAACAATTCCTAAATAATGATTATAAAATTCAATATGCGTCAAAGTGCGGCGTTCCGTAAACCTGGCGTTAAATATTATTTCGTTAATCATTTCTGTTTACGAAATCGTTAATATTCTTTAGTGTCAATTACGATCTGTGACTGTTTACCAATAATTCTTAATTCCTTTAAACGATTTGACGCGGGAGATTGCGATAAACAAGCTACAAAACATTAAAAGTAAGAAAGAACAGCAGAAGAAAGGAAAACATTTAATCCAACATTACTTAAACGGGTTTTCCGTCCTGCACTGCAATTAAATCAATTTATAGTGATTTTACGTCATTAGCTGATTTACATATTATTTGTTGTTTATATCGCAATCAACAGTAATTAAATCTGTTATTGAAACGAACAAAGTTTTCAGTTAAAACTTTCAAGTTAAAAACCCTGAAGTGCAACAAATGATTATTCAAATATCGTGCAACGAGATTCAGGTTTTTTTATTTATAATATCGACGTTCGAAAGCAGCTTACTATCTCCGACAAAGCGATTAAAATATTCGATGAAAGTAATCAACGCGTCGACTATGGTTTATATAATACATTTAATACTATGATAAATAGTTTTGTGTACATAATAAAATCCATAATCCCCTCGTGTTTACCTGAACATTAAAGTAATAATTGCGAAGACAAAAGAAATAAGAATATTAATCTCTTTTTACATTTTTCATTTTACATTCTGTAAATTAATGTGCATTTACTCCTATTCTTATTCTTCACTCAAATCATAATTATCTTATTGTATTTGTTGGTGTCATCGATCAACTGTAGATATTACACTGATAACAAATTAAAAGATATCTAAAGAAGATAAATGGAGACAAAATCATTCGAAATGACTCCTTAAAATCGTTCGAATCCTTTACTACATCCCCGATAAAACAATTTGAAAAGTTCAATTGGAAAGTCGTCACATTCACTACCTAATATTCCATTCACTGTTTCCACATTAAATTTAGACGTTACTCACTATCGATCCGACAGCTGAATCGTGCAATAACATTTTAAAAACAGTCCATTGATGATAATAAAATTCTATGAAAAGTCTATCCGCGATCCTTTGAATTTCTTTGACCACCAAAACAGTTTCTTCGCCATTGGAGATCTTACAATCCTCGAATCTGGACCGAGCGGAACCGTCCTTCTATGCGAACCGAGAGGAAATTGCTTGTCAGTTGAAATCGCCTTACCTTGATCAGCTGAGACGATGGATCGAATCACGAACAGACAACGATAGTGAATCGGGAAGAACTAAGTTGCGGCAATGTCCGACTGGTTCACGGAAAGAGAAATGGAAGAAACTCTTGCGGTGAACCGAAGAGATGGAGAACGGTCGATAGAGTGGGAACGATTACCTCTTAGACCGGTTCTCTTTTATATCGTAAGATGCCCCACTCTCTGTTTTCTCTCCGCGAGTCACATGGAACGAAGAAAACCCGGACACAATCGATATTGTTAGACACCTGACACGGTGCACACGGTTTTTCGGCGATAGAATGCGCTCTTTCTTTCTTTGATTAATCATTTAATACACCGATTTTAATATCTTAACACCTTAACACCTCTACGTGGGTTGCTGTAAAAGTTTGAGAAAAATCACTAATAAGTTTCAACTAATAGTTTTATTATTTATCGAAATATTCTCTTTCACTATTTGTACATTTTCCATTGGGTAGTGTTAGTACTTTCTAAATTTGAAAATGTCAAGCTTCACGAAAGTAAGAAACTGAATGACAGCGGATTCCAGAAATCTTTGCAGCAACCAAGGTGTCAAGGTGTTAACATAAAATGTTAAGGTATTGAAATCGGTGTATTAAATAATTTAATACACGTCTACTGTCACGAGAATGTTGAGCATTTTGTATAGTATTTCTTATTCTATTGTAACGAAGTCAAGTAGTGCTGGAATTTACTTATTAATGATTCGGTAACATAGGTCTTAAGTTATTCTATTATTTAGTTACTTATATTACTAGATATTTCGATACATCAGTTTTCTGCTTGGAATTCTTTTCTTTATTTTAAATTTTAGATGACCTGTCCAATTTTTAATAATAATTTATCAATTCTTAACATTTATTGAGTAGTCAATGTAAAATATTATTTAACAATATGATGGTTTTATTGAATTTGATTGACCTAGAATGCAGAAAGGACCACGTTTATACTCGTAGTTGTCTGAATACAATTTTTTAATAATTCCGAGGCCATATATATTTGTGATAACTCCGTCAACCTAGTATTTATTTTTCATTGTTGCAATTCCATTATTCCAACCACGAAATTCATATGACATAACATGCCGAATAAGCTCTTTCGACACATTCATTTAAAATGTATACAATAACTGCGCGCAGTTCTGTAGAACAGAATAAAAGAGAAACTTCATATAAAATTGGATATTGCTTCTATTTTCTACTTGAGTCACTTGATTAGAGAAATATATTGAATAATGAAAATGTAAACTTACGTAAGTATCTTCATTGTAGTAATAATCGTAATGTTTATTATATATATTCTCATTTAATACGCGCATTAAACAATTTGATCTGTAGCAAGCAGCGTTCATTTAGTTCTTAGAGTGCTCGAAATATTTTGAGATCTCGTCGACTGCATCTTAATAGGTGATTAATGAGTATATATTTACCAATAGATTCAGATCAATTATTCTACATTACTTATGTATTTTATTTGTTAATGATTTAAACACATTAAAGTTTGCGTTTCGACTTTATTTAATATTTTGCAAAGAACGAATTAATTAATGTAGTAGTAGGTAATGTATTTCTATTATTAATTTTTATTTATTATAATAAGCAGTTCGCAGGCATTTGGAAAAGGGTGTACTTCTAAATGATATACATGACAAAATGTTACGTGATATACATAATAATAATGTGGTATAGATGTCATGAACAAATCGAATGATTTTGTATGAGGAATTACTTACTTTAAAGGGCAGAACAAAACGAAAGAGAATTACAGTTTTCATTATAATGTAACTACTGATCAAGTTGCGACATGATTGTTCTCGAGAAATAATGTGCGAGAAAATTGCGACATTACAGAAGGTACGGTGACACTGTTTGTAAAATATTAACGTAAAATCTTGAGGGAATGGTAGGGGATGCAAATTATATTAGTTTAGTTGAACAAGCCGAATATTCTCTCTAAACTATAGAGTACACGTTCTGTATTGACTTCTTAATATGTGCCTCAATCACGCTTTGTCAGTTCCAAATTTTACTTTAATTTTACTGTAATAATTAAAAATATATTAACTTTAAATTATACCATAGTCATATTAAAGAAAGAAAATAAGAATGCACGAATAATCTATGAAATAAATTCGTGTATCTAATATTTTATGAAAATTATGTAATGTTTATTTCTTTTGTTTCATCATTCAAAAAATTTTCTTATTTATTTCTTCCACGTATTGGCAAATGTCATTCGTTAATCCCAAATCTGTACATTTGCATAAATACTCATCTACTGTTTTTTGTACGAATTGCGTAAGTATTGACCCCTTTCGCAAGTAAATTTAAGAGTGTGAATTCTTATCTTAAAATGTCGAACGGCTAGGAAAGATGTATGTACAAAAATACATTCGTACATCAGGAGGATGTAATTTTCATTAGTCTGAAAGAAACGCCAATAAAGGCACAGTAACAAGCGTAAAGGATGATTCAGTTAAAAGTGGGGAAAGTAGTGGCAACTTACAAATTTTAGAAACTCCTGAAATCGGACAATTATATAATAGCAAAGCAGGAAGTAGCGTAGCTGCGTGAGGTGCATCGTTCTTTTTTCCTTGATAATCATCAAAATGCTCTACATTCGAAATCCACGTTACCGTTATATTACGTACATTAACTTCGTGTACAACACTACAGGAACTAGTTGGAAAAAACACTACCCCAGTCTGAAACTTCATGATAATGCAGTTATTTTACTTTTAACTTAAAAATTTTTCATTAACAAAACATTTATATTTAATGCTTGATGTTGTGTAGCTCATAGTTACGCAAGTATGAAACATAAGCGTCAATAATTTATACATAAATTTGAAACTTTAATATAACAAGAAAATTACTGCAAATTTCTGTCGTTTGCACTGAACAAAATTCATATGTTGTGAAATTACTTCTAAACTTGATTTTTTAATAGGTATTATCTCAAAATGAAATCAAAATATATACAAAGAAATATACCTACTAATTATATAGAATTTTCTTGAATATTATTCAAAGTTCTTGGAAATCCTTGAAAACTGTCTAAACAATAAATACTTCGTATATAATTTTCAATGAAAGAATTGCAGAATAATAAAGATGCCTTTGTTTTTAATATAATGTTAAGTAACAAATTGTTTTTTAAATAATGGAGATGAAAGAAAAAATTTACATGAATAATTTCATGTTGTGTCTACAGGATTTTTTAACAGCATAAAAATGTGTTTGTTTTTGAGGAAATCCATTATTTTATTTACATATTCAACCTAGGTTGTTTGAAAGAAGAAAGAGAGAATTCAAAATGAATTCTCACTAGTGTACAATTTTCTTAGCAAACAATCATACTTACGTAATATATACGCAGTCAAAACATTTTTTTAAGCTTTAGTAAATTATAGATTTATTAATTTTTAATAGAAGTTTACAAATTTTTCAGTACTTATTATAAAATTATATAAATTTTTGTTCTGACATAACGTACACTACAGTCATATAAATTTTCTGAAGTGTACTTATCGAAATGGTTTCAAAACATTTTCTAAATGACATAGTTTTGACCATTTTTCTCCACAATGGATGATTCAACACAAAATTTTCGTCTAACAGAAACGATGTTCAGATCATTATTCAATTGTCAATGTATTTTAACAAAATCTGCATCAAACGAAGCAAGTTATAGTATACATAAATAATTTCCATGAATCTCATTGACGTTCTATCAGCAAAATTTAGTAATGGTTGAATTAGTATTTAATTCCGATTTCAGAATTCCACAAATCATCGTAACATAACTTCCATCCAAAACTTTCGCGTTGCTTGTTTCGAAGAATAAAATGACAAACATCTGGCAACCCTTGTAAATATCAACGCCGAAAGCATTTTTAGGAAGCAAGGATGAACGTAACAAGCGTTGATGCAATTGTGCCGAAAATCGCAGTGAACTTCGTTGCTTCTATAGCAGAGATCGCGCCTCCTCTAATATTCGATGGTGTTCCTTTCGCTTCGTCCTTTATTTCCTTCTACAAATGACAATATAACATAAAACTTTATGTTTTGAAAATTGCAAACAATAGATTAACAAACTTGTACGCTTATAATTAGAACATCCAGTAACAAATCAATAACTGTACAGTGTGTTTTACAAATATTATTTTAAGATAGTATAGCACATTTTTCATAGAATGTTTATAATAATAATTTAAGTAATATCACGTAATATTTGTAATGATAATATGGTACAAATATATCCTTCATCTATGAAACAACAGAATATTGACTAAATGTCGAGGAAACATTGATAAGGCTTTTAATATAATAAAAATTATGATAATTTATTAAAAGTTATTGTAAGCTTTATAATATTAAAAATAATGAAATAATAATTAAATAAAACACAAAGAATTCTATTAAATGTCTGTTGCAATTTTATTCTTCTTAATTATTGAAAATGACCTACTTTTATTGGGGCCAGAATCCCCCCTTTCCAAATGCATTGTTATGGTAATAGAGGAATCAATATGGCATGCATGCTACTTTGAATGCTACTTTGAATTCAAAAACAATCACAGCAGTCACAAAAGATAATGAGGTATAGCAATGTAACAGACAGTCAGAGTATCTCTTTCAGTTGATTCTCATTTTCCTCAAACCTTGATGCCGAAGGCCTACTAAATCCCTAGCTGTCCATTTTACCGCTACGGTTCATTCCAATGACTACGCCATTTTATCGAACATAAAGATTTCGAAAATAGATTTTTTAAATTATTATAACTGAATACTGGATGATTTTATGGAATTGTTAATTCGAACGTGATAAAAAGAACGAAATAAACCTATTATCTACAAAAGGCAAATGCAACTGCAGTAATCGTTTAAAAATAAAACACGTATAGTCAAGATAAGTCATTGAAATTGCGAAACAAAATCATCCATTTCAGTATCTGAAAAGTATGTTTAATACTAAAAAAATAATTGCCATTGTTTTAACATTAATTATTCAATTAAATTAGTTTACCCTGAGTTTTTATACGTTACCTTTTCGTTCGAATTTCTAGCCTTTTTAGTCTCGGGATCCTGTATAAAAAGGAACAATATTAAATTTGTTTCTTCAAAGTATTTGATGTACATTAAGAACTGTAGAAAATGATTAAAAGAATTATTTTTATCAGTCCATAATAAAGATGTGAATTAAATGATAATAGTGTTGAACAGATTAATCAATTTATAAAACTAAATAGAATTTGAGGGGGTACAATTTAAATTTATAACAAAGAATAATTGGAGCAAATGTGTCAGTTAGCCAAACATTCCGGATATGAAATTGTGTCTGCAAAGATCGTTGCATTGTATTCCTGTTTTGGCATTGTATATATAACTAAGTTTTTTGTGTTATCTACGACCAGTCGTGGATATGAAATCTGAGACTGGGCGTGTTCTCGAAACAGAACACTTGTACCAATGAGTCCTCGAGATATACGTATTTGAGATGTCATGTAATATTCTGTGTTCACAGTTTCAAATATCGGTCCCTCCTTTAGATCCTCGTTTTTTATTTCAACCTCTTGACCTACAATATCGTGTCAGACTCGTGACGAAAATTTTAAACCGAATATAAGAAATCTAAATGTTATTTATTGTTTTTAAATGAAATATTACTTTTCTATTGTCAATTATTAACCTTTGCAGTAAACGTAGACGTAGAATAAGCAACAAAATTTGTTCTTTTTTTAATAAATTATTAACGATGAAGTAGTTATATCAATCATCGTTATTTAGATATTAACGTAACTTAAAATTCAAGTTCTGAAAAGCTTGGTTTCCATTCTTCGATGTAGATATAACGATTGTACGTTTCTAAAGTCACAAGAACAAATACGAACATGTTCTTCAAGAACTTTATTCCTTTTCATATTTTTCTTATCGAATTCTTTCATGTTGATAATAAAGAAGTATATACTTGCAAATAAATTATTCATTGCAGAATATTTTCAATTATTGTTTTCATTTGAGTAATAATTAACCGTCTACGTTTATTTATATTTATTTCAAATGATACATATATTAACAATTATATTTTCATATGAAACTTCAGTTGAAAACCGTTTTTAAGAATATACCTTTTTAATTATTCTTTTATTGATACAAATGGAGGTCTTTTATGTTTGTAATGAAAACATTACGATTATGATTTCAGTTGTCGAAAGATTGAGGAACCTAACAAGCGTCATTTGCGGATTAAAGCAAACTTTACATACTGTTACAAATCGATTCAAGCATAACTGTAACATATGTTAGAATTTCACCTGATTTATCTTATACCCCTAAGGTCATGGTTAATTTCAGGCTGGCCTGTCGATGTCATATCAGAACTAACAATGTCAAGTTGTCCACAAGGTGCCGATGCGAAATCGATGTTCTTTTAGAAATTCCACAAAGCATCGTCAAAATTGTGAGAAATTTATATAAATTAAACGAAACGAAAACATTCAAACATGTTGGTCGCTTGTAATATGATCGGATGAACGTAACAAAATAATTCATGAAATAATCACAGGTTCAATGTCTAGGACGGAATCGAAGAATACTATTTATAGCAGCAGTAGTTTATGACCGGTTTTAAACTGTCAACCTGCACAGGAATGCGCATTCAGTTGTTATCGAGCTATTCCTGTAGCTTTCTTAAATTATTACAAAACTACAAAGAATGTGACGTTTCTATAATATTTTATAGTTACCGAAATGAAAGAAAAACTAATATTACCGAAATCTTGACATTAACACTTTTAAAGGGTTCGGTTTCATTATTTTTCGTATATTAACACGTTAACTGTAATGACGTCATCGATGACCGAACTTTCTGAATAGCAAGAAAGTAATTATAACTCGTAACATAACTGATGTCGAAGAAAAATGTTTAGTAGCGTAAATAACTATATAATAGTGTAACGTAACAATTGTGATATCAGATAATTAATAATTCTTGCTTTTTATCTTTACTATAAAAAGAAAAAGTAATAAGTACATAGTAAACCTTTGCCTTAAAACAATGTATCACACTCTGGTGAAGATTTTAAAGAGAATTTAACAAGGATAAATATTATTTGATTCTTTTAAATTCAAATGAAACATTATTCTTCTATTATTAATTATTATACTTTAGAGGAAATATAGACATAGGATATGTCTAGAATTTTTCTCTCTTTTAAATGAATTATTAATGGAAAAGTAATCGTGTCGATTATAGTTGAAAGGTAAATCATGGAACAAGGAGTTAATCCTTTAACTTTCACTTACTAAATCTAATAATGAATATATTGCGGGAAAAATCATTTTATTATTTGCATCACTACTATTAATAATATATATTCGTTTAACACGTTAAGTGTTATGTCGGTCTCTTGTAATTAATTTACTTCCATTTGTTATCAGTATAGTCTCTATAAAATAGTCATCGAATTTAAAATACTTTTAAACCGTTCAAGGTACACAATGGCGTTGATGCATAATTCATATTTGCAACGTATTTTTACAAATATAATGATATCATGGTATAATTGACTATAACTTTTGTATTCGCGACCTTTAAAATGCTAACTGGTCATTTAAATTTAACAAAATGGTTCGAACAACTTTTCGTAGTGTGCCAGTACGGTTGTGTAATGAACTATGTCTTTATGTACGATTAAACTGCGTATAAAAGAAAAGTTTCAGGATACATACTGTCGGTCACGAAAGTTTACATATGCCTAAGACATTTTAAATACTACAACAAGGAAACGAGAGTATTGGACATTCCATATTTATCAACATTCGCCCAATTCTAGAAGAATGCCCATGTTTTTTAACACTTCCCAATATTCAGTATGTGAAATGATTTATACATAAATTCTTATAGAATTAATTAATTAAGCTTTTGTACATTTTATTATGTAAATGAAAGCATTATTCTCTAAAATAATATAAATACTTATAGTAATTGTATTTTGATGCTAGTCATAGTGATTTTGTCTACGGGAAAATCTAAATAATCTGAAAGTAGACACATTACAAAACAGAAAATTTTGTTTTTGATAAATAAATCCAAAGAACATCGGTATTTTTCGATCAGCATGCAAATATCAAAGTCACCAAAGTAAAAGTTTAAGACTAAATTTGGAAAGTTAATGTGTTAAAATTTTATTTGTACTAAAGGCGACAGAAGACACCTTTTAAAATACTGGTTTAAAATTATTTTCAAATCCGAATCATATTTCCTCAATAGATTTTTCGATTTTTCCTATAATGATTATAACATTGATTTAGCCATATTAAACAATTCAATAAATTTTCTTAAACTGTTTCTTGATAAATGTAGATATACACAAAAGGACAGTAAAAATAGCGTTAATGATAAATTCTTACTGTTTTTTCAGCTGTGTCTCGCGACGGTCTCTTGAAAACAGTTTCTTCCTGGGATGTAACCTTGTGCTCAGCAATCGAAAGTGGTGCAAGCTCGTGTTGACGTACCCTGCAACTAGGATCCTTGCACCCAGTCGCCAGGATGTTTCTAATAGTTGTAGGGAGATCCCAAACAGTTATCGCAACGTGAAGCATTTTGGCACCCGGTCCTGACGCGAAGAATGGTATCGGTTTCGCGTCGTGTGTGCAGACTCCGGTTATCGCCACGAGCACATCTTCCGATACCTTACATTTACCAAATATTAATCATTTATATTTTAATCTAAAAATTAAAGGAAAATATATATCGAAAAGATCAATGAATTTGCGTTTGGAGATTTTCTGATAGTAACTATAAATAATAAAAAGGAACGAAAATGATTAAGTAAATAGAGAACGTACATTGAAACCTCTGATTTTAAGATTGTGGTGTTGTGAACTTTAACAATTACAAAATCCTTTTTAAGACAGAAGTAAATCGAACTAGAAACATCAAATTAAAACGATTAGCTAAATATTATATATCTATGGAAAGAGAACTCTTATGAATATTTGAATTATTTTCCTAATATTTATGTGCTAGAATTACATAAAATATAGATAGACGTTAAATTACCGGTGAAAATGATTTACATTGCAAGAAATGATTTTATCAAATCGATGCAGAATGATTTACATCGCAAGAAATTATTTCATCGAATCGACGCAAAATGATTTACTTGTTAGAACCACATTAAACGATAGACGCTCAATTACTAGTGGAAATAATTTACATTGCAATAAACTATTTTATCGAATCAACGTGAAATCGTTTACCTCTCGTTGTAGAGTTTCCATAACGGAATTGAGTTCGCTCGCAGGCGTTGCAGCGACCAATATGAAGCCTTTCTGGTTTTGAATAGACTTGAGTTCCCTAACTATATCAGCCAAATTAGATGGCATACGATGCGATCTGCCAAAGGTACCGGGGTCCTCTGAAGCACCAGCGTTTCCGCCAAGGGACTCGAGGAGAGAGCGGAACAGGGCCATTCTTATTCTGGAGAACATATCGAAAACATTCCATGCGGAATCGTCTGTACCTATAACGCACAAAATTCCACTATAATTTTCTATAATCCTTTCGTTTAAAAAACGATAACAATTTATGTTGTTATCTCTTAAGTAATGCCATTTTTTATCTTATTTCGTAGGATACTTTTCAACGGCATTTCAAAAATTAAAATAAAAATATTAAGGGGAAAATGAGAACAGGTCATGTACAACGATGGTCAATACAGTAAATATTAATTTTTTACATTAGGAGTTAACTTCTAGGAGAAGTTAGACTATGTTAAATAAGAAATAACATTAGCATTAAAAAAGGACATTGATTATAGGTATTAATCGATTACGATATTTACTTTGTTTTGTTAATTAATGTTTACGATTTGAAAAGTAAATCGTCGAAAAATCAGCGATTCATTTAAAAAATTAATGTCAGTGACCACGAATCGCTGACTAAAGAAAATTAATCGTCGTGAAATTGGCGTTTCATTTAATCGATTGATGATAGTAATCATCGAACATTGATTAAACTCTTCGAATCCTGGTCGTGAACGACATCAAAGGCAAACCAGAAATGGTTTGATAAGACTCGTATCAAAGATTAATTTCATTACAGAATGAATATCAGTAATTAACCATTAATCGATTTTTTAAATGGAGATTAAAATCAACATATATTTAATCGTTAATAGATTAAATTAGGTATTTAACCCTTAATCAGAGTGAACAATTGAAAGGAATTTAATTGTTAATCGGAATTAACGACTAAATTAGAAATGTAACCATTACTTGTGGTTAAGGACTTTATAGATATTAATGTTTATGTCAGAACCAAATTGTTATTACTATATTTCCAGGCATCCAGTACGCATTATACACAGAAATGTAAAAATATTAGGCTACAGGGACAGTAAATCTCACCGTCTTCTCGAATATTTGGTGCAAACATCATCGATGAAGCACGGTTGGCTGGTTTTCCCAAGTCGATCAGATACCAATCAGGGCGAATTTCGGATTTAGCTTTGCGCACGTTCAGTTTCGTGTTCCCATCCAACTCATCGAGTTCTGGTACGCTAGGTGGTTCCTCATATCCGAACAATGATGGAATCGTGAAATTTGAGTTTAATAACGTGCCTGAGTACGAACGAATACTACATATTAGATTATTCTACATGAAACCGTAAATCTTAAACCGTAAACCGTAAATTCTTTACCAGTGCATACCTATACACTTTGAAAAGTGTAACACACTATTTTGATCACCATGCTTTATATTGCAAACATCAAACTTGATAATTTTGTTGCAATAAGAAGCATTTTGAAGAAATTGTTTAGAATTGATAACGTCAGTATCTACATATGCTCACTAACCTGTTGCCATTCCCTTAACATCTCGTGCCCACATCAATAGTGCAGCAACATTCGATTTTAGGTAGTGATCGCAATTACATTCCGTGTCCTTATTATCGGAAATTAATGCATCGCCCAAGGAAAACCGTTCACCTTCTATTTTAGTGCTATGGCAGCTCTACGGAATATATCGTTAAATACCTTCGTAATGTTTGTATAAAATTCTGCTTTACATGTAAATAATCATTTGTATGAAGTCAGGAATTAATTACATTAGAACAGAATAAAAGTGGATCATTTATATCAAAATATGTAAATTATGAAAAGGGACCTACAAAAAGATGCAATAATTTTACACGCCTAACATAATTAATTCAAAACAATTACATAAATAAAACTTTATTCTGAATTCTTAGACATAATTGAGATTTCATTTAAACAGATTGTAATATAATTATTTATCCAAGTGAATCCAATATTAAATAATCTAAATAAACCGTTACTTAATAGTATTTAAGGTAATCACCTTAAATCAGTTAACCTGTATGTTACCAAATTTTTATCTTTCAAATCGTACCTGGAGGAATCCCTCGACCGGAAATGAGTGCGTTGCCTTGAAGTCTTTCCATAAGTCTGTTCGACCAGATTCCGCTACTAAAAGGAGAATGACATTCCTTGGAATGGACGCCGTGTTATCGGTAATAGTAGTTTCCTCTGCAGAATTAGTTGCAACATTAATGATCGTTTTCGTGGAGTGCGTATCTTTCTCCATGCTTTCCAGAACGAAGTCTCTTTTATCGCGTATACTGTCCTGAGGAACAGTATGTTCAGCAGCCTGTGTCGATTTCTTTACATCAGAGGTCTGCGACACCTTGTCAACGTTCATCTCCTGCATGTTCACGCTTGAAGATTGATCAGCAGTGGCCTTATGTTCGGTTTCCAGAAACGGCACAACGTTCCAGGCAGGGGGAATGTTTACTGCTAGCAAGACAATGTAACCAGTTAAATTGCAATGGAAAGCCATGACGTTTCCTCCTGATTGCCTCACGAAAATTATCTTACGAAACATTATGATTGGTCACTGTTACCGCTCGTCGTAAAGAGAGAATAAGGGTTATTTGTGAAAGAATATGACGGATACAAGACGAAATCATTTGTTTGCTGTGCTCGTCTCCATAAAATGAGGGAATGTATTATTTGGTATATAGTTTGAGCGCGGAAGAAAATACTAAACAAATTTATTCATCTTTCGTACATTAAATTACAATCTCCTTGATTAAAGGTTTCAGTAAGTTACGAAGTGAAATTAAGCTGTTAAGCATAGTTTATTAGTATCTTACTGTATTGTGCGAATTATCAGGATTCATATAGAAATTTTCAAGGTCTTATTATAATTTGGTATCCTTTAGTATTTTGTTTACTTGAAAATACTTTCTTTGCTTTCTGATTTTTAACATATTTGAAATAATTTTAGGGAAAAGCATTATAGCAATAATATACTTGCTAGTTTCTATTAAAAATTTATCTACGATAGTTTCTAAACGAAATAAATTTAACAGTATTGTTAAGTTATTTGAACAAAAGGAATATAGAAGTTTGAAAAGAACATTACCAGGCGCCGAACGTAACGAGATGAACGCGTAACAAGACGACGCTATCAATATCGCACCGGCTAAGGACATCAATGAGTAAACGTGCACCATCTTTACTGGAACAAAATTTAATTGTATATGTTAATTTCGCGTTTATAAAGAATTAAAATCTTATGGTTTCTAGAATTCCAATGATTTCTGGTTACACTACCATGAATGTAGACTCAATACTTCGCAGCTCCTTTACCTCCAGATCGTGAAAAGTATTTTAACGTAAATTAAAATAAATCGCAGGCAACTGCCACGTCTGTTCCTTTTACAGAACTAGAAGACGATTCATTGATAGTTTCTCAGTCAACAAATTGCTGTTGTCCAGTGCACAAAACAAAGAAAGTTCAATTTTGTTTTCAATGACACTTGTACCTGCTTTCATACAGTGATCACCATTATGAAGTTTGAATCGATATATACTTACTTATTTACTTAGATATATATGAAAAATATTTTTTAGTTATAAAAGTTTGTTATAAGCATACAAAACAATATTCATTAACACTTTTTAGATATCATGGACATAAAATTAAAAAATGTAGTTTTATAAAGAAGTGTTAAAGTGTTTAAAGTATTAAAGTATCGAGTATTAAAGTTTATATAAATAATTAATCTGATCCGGTGAATGATCATTGAAATATTAAATTTTGAATTTCACAGTTAAACTTATATTAATAATTTATATGGAATTTAACATGCTGAATCTTGTCTATTTTTATTTATACCTGTTTTATCTTCTTTCTCAGCTTTCATTATATTATGTTGCTATATTATCTTTGTAATAAAATTGATTTGGTATTATACATTTATTTATGTAGAATGTATATTTTACACATATTCGTAGGAACGGGTAGTAGAGTAATCATGTTATAATAGACAGGAACGTACGAGGGAAAATATTATTTTACCCAACTCTGGTTCTAATACATTCTATTAATCCATTATTCTAAAATTTATTTCTTACCTATGATCAATACAACTAAAAACAACATTCTAGTGCTTATTGTATGTCCACATTTACCACAAACTTTTACGATTGATAATAGAAAAGTAATATTTAATTTATATTTAAACAAAATAAATAACACTTAGTTTCCTCAAACTCAGTTCAAAATTTCGTCACGAGTCTGGCACGATATTGTAAGTGAAGGGGTTAACAAAATATGGATATTGTTACCTGTTTCATATACAGTAAGTTAAATTATTATACTGTGAAGTTATAATCATTAATGGAAAGGTTTGCAGCCATTATTGGCTAAACTGTTAAACATATTAATTCTTTCTACATGTAACATATGCACTTTCTACCTTCACAGTCTGAATCAATCTTCGCCGATGTATCGTGTCCTCACCCTTTGTGTTAGAGTCTGTACGTATGTCGGGTTAAAACAAATGTGCATACAATACTTTATGGATGGTAGTGTAAATTCTGCATGTGCAACTCGTGGACAGTGTCTACAGTTCAAAGACATATCGTAACACATCGAGAAAAATGATTCGTGCTAAGACGCACGTTCTCTATGTTCCCATCAGGAGACAAAGAACTTTGTGACTCGGTGTTTTAATTAATCATAACATCACTGCCTCGATTCCTCCACAATCATTTCAATAGTGTCAAGGATGTTTGGAGGTAAACTAGATAATAAGCATCTATGTGTACAGATCTATAACGTGACCTACATATCCGTTCCTCTTCGGATAATCTATCGAATGAAACGTGTACTCTCGAGATCACAGACACCGTGGCGAACATTTTATACCAAAATAGCGGCAACTTTCGTTTCATCCACGTTCCATTTCATTTGAAAGTGACACAATTGCTATGGTTGTTGTATGTTCACTTACGACGCGTAGTTATTGTCATCGAGTGAATTTTTCATGGTATCTATCTCTTTGACAGGACATATTCGTTAGGAGCATTTGTTTGCTGAAATGATAAACTTTAGAAATGAAAAGTAAAAAATATTAATGGACTTATACGGTAATTCTGCAGAAGATAAGCATATTTTCTCTGAATGCCATATTTAGATGAAAATTAAAAGGATTAGAATATTAGATGTGATTACTACACAAACTTCAACTACTTTCTTATAAAATAATCAGCAAGAATTAGAATTACAAATTAAGAAACATCAATTGTGATTGCAATTGTGCTAATTGTTTAAAATAAAGTATAACCGCTAATAAAATAGGTGGCTAAACTTTAGTATGGTCGTCTATTTTGCCTGAGGAAGAAAAAAGGTCAATTAAATACAGGTAGAAGCATCATCCTTTTTAAAATATAGGTACTTTTCGAAAATGAATATATGCTCAAATTATTTTAAATTAAATATTAAATTGTTCAGTTCTTTCACTTTATGGACATGTAAACATTGTTACGTGACTCATCACTTAGTGACCTATGAGTTTCAAGTTTACTGTATTACGTATTTACATTAAAAAAACAGTATGTACAAGAGATTATCAATATATGTAGATTGCAGTGCGAGCATCGGTTATATAATATTCGAATGATTGAGCTTTACATTCTTACGCGTTTTTTAGTACTTTACTAACAGGAACCAATTAGTATCGTCACTTTTTTATGACTTATTTACATCGACAAATGCACAACACAAATTGCAGTAATTTCATCGATGTGAATACTATTGATGCTGTTTCTGAACGTTTTTCTGTCGATTAAACAATAGTTGTCGAAAAAGCATACACAAAAATTCCGTAAAATCGGAGCGATTCAATAAATTTCTTTCTGATAACATATAATAAAATATCGATATGAATTGGAAGCAGTAAAACGTCGTAGTTAAAAGAAAATTTGTTTGTGTACAATGTTTAATATTTTATTGCAAAGAATGATAATATCTTTTAGATATATTCTATATAATATGAAGTGCTTTATAAAATATTTTTAGTTTTGAATGCTATTATGTCGTACACTTTCAAAATCATCTCAAATTATACTGCCACCTTCTATAAATAAAATGACAATTTTATTGAAATTCTAATGACGAAATTATGTTTAAGTGCATCTGGGATGTCCATTTTTTAAATAATCTTCATCATTACATTTTCCTTCGAATAGAATTATGTATAACAGACTTTTTGTGGTACAACAACTTTTACAAATAACTGTATTGGTTACGATACAAGAATTGCCTAGTAGGGGAAATAAAGTGGTTTTGATGAATTCTAAGTAAAGAGTATAATCGCTATAGATCCGTGGCACGAGCTCACAATATTATTGACGTATTAACAACATAAGTAATGCAAAACAAGCATTATGTAGAACAGAATACCTATTTCATATTGTTTTAAAATACAGGGTGCGTCAGAGTAATGTATACAGGAGGATACAAAGTGGTTCCTTATAAAAGAAATAACCAAAAAGTGTAGAATAAAATTTGTTTATTTAAAGATTAATTTTGAAAGAAATCAAAAATTAGTTATTTTCGTAATTCCAATTAATCGTTTGTACACGCAAAGCGACTTTCAGTCGTCACTTGAATAGGTATTTCGATGTACCAAACTTCTAAAGTTTGATGACGCGAATCATTTTAAACACGTTACCACTAGATTTTCTTTATATTTTCGCCCAATCTTTCATAATTTTTTCAATAACGACTTTCCTACTTGAAATGCAAAGGTTTTACAATTTCAGAGACAGAAGAATGTTCTTTCTTTAAATGTTAAATTTGTAGCTATTTAAACATTATTTCATCTATTACCACACCAATTGTCACTAATCCTATACAATTTCGATAATGAGAAGCACGTGTTATTAAACATTATTCGAATGAAATAGATAAGTAGCTTAACACTTTGTGCTATCGCATTAACGCGGCATCGATTATCACCCCTATCTTTTCATCCGCAAACAAAACAGTAACATCCATATTAAACACAAACGTTCCATTTTCATCTAAACATCGTTATCTAATACCAGAAGCCATATCCTTAAAACTCATTTACGAAACTTAACAACATTATACCATCTAACGTTACTTTAAGTCTCATTCATTTCATTAAACTACAAGAATTTCATTCCAGTTTCCAAACGTAACTTTATAAAGCTCAGAACAACGAAGAAATGTATTTCCTTCATAAACATCGCCATTAAATACTCAATCATAAAAACATTTCTTTATTCCGCAAATCGACGGAAGACATAAATGCGTAAAGATCCGTAGCCCGCTAATGACCTATCACAGCAACGGAAGAAGGGATAAAGTTTTCCAGTGGCGTTAACACAGAAAACGTCCGTGTTCGGGATCTTTCCAATGTCCCCAAGTTTTTCCGTTCCCCTACACGTCGTACTCTCTTGTTGGCATACGCTTGCCGAGCGGCAGTCGTCGAAATCTGAATAATTGATACGTTTACAAAGCTCCATGTCGACGATACAAGAAACAACATGGCCACCGTGGCGAGCCGGCAGCGAACGTCTGAGAACGTCTGCGCCTCGGTTACCCTTCGCGGATTGGTCCACGTTTGGTGCCCCCTCGGACTGGAGGGGTTTCGCTGGAACGACAGGTGGTGGCTATCCGTGAACGACGGGGCGGAAAAAAAAGGAGAAGGAACTACAACGAAGAAAGCAACCCCCCTGGTGCCGGTGATCGAGGGTCAGCCGACTCGCTACGTTAGTTTTCATCGATACCGCGTGCCCTGATCATCGACACGCCGATTCCTGTCAGCGAACTCTCGACGAGCTCGCGCCGCAGCGTGGATTTAATCAGTGCGACTGCGATATACCGGCCTCAAGGTGAGAAATCGCCTACGGTTGAGAAACGGTCTCAAATCATTGCCGCGTGCAGTTTTGGTGCCCCGAAATCGGGATTGACCTGTTACGTCGCGACCGATATTGTCGTGTGAATCGCAGGTCGAACGGGATCATTGGAATGCTACTTTCCTTTTTTATGGATATTCAGGATTTTTGTTAGGTCTTTTAAGTCAGTTTCATCGAGATTCTGGGTAGGTGAGTGCTTTCGATGTTGACGGTTCGTGGATGGCCTGTCGTTGCTGGGTGTCTGGTGTCTTTTTGTAAGAAATTCGAATGTTCGAGATGTGTTTCTGTTTTTGTTACTGAGTATTTGCTTATAGTTATGTTTGTTATATATGCATATCTAACTATAAGCAGATATTCAGTAACAAAAAAGGAAACACATCTCGGAGATTCGAATTTCTTACAAGAAGACACCAGACACTCAGAGAAGATAGGAGAATTCCATGTGTGTATGATAATTTTTGGTTCCTTATATGCAGTTTTTATGGGTGTTAGATGGAATAGTTTGATACTTTATGGTAAAGGTTCTTAAACTATTATCTTTTTAGTATCTATTTAGTTCTTTTTATCGTTGAATAAGTGTCGTCACAGGGTAAAAGGATATTTTAATATTTAGGTATACGAGTAAAATGTATTTATTGTATTATATAATAATGTTATATAATTTTGAGAGTTTGATAGCAGATCACTAGAAAGGAATACCTAAATCCAACTTTATTTGTATATAAATATTTAAAAAGTGTGTTTAGATCAAAGTCAAACTGCTTCAAGGAATACGTAAAGTGATATAAAGGAATTATTGTCAAGGTCATTGTTTATGAACCTATAGATCAAAGTTAATATTCTGTTGCATTTGTTTTATGGATTTTGTAGAAAATAAAGAATACAGTTTTGAAAATGTACGTTTATGTTCTATAGTATCTAATTTTTTAAATATTTTATGGAAGTGATATTTATATTTCTCGTTGTTTATACGATAGTAAAATAATTTTCTAATTTAGTCAGTTCATTGCATACAGTTTGTATTCTATTGAAAACTTCTGATTTAGTTCGTGTCTCTAATTGCTAATTAGTCCTAATGTTGTTAATGTTTATATACCTTAACAACATCACGATATTACTTGTTTTCTACAATAGTTTAAAGTGTACTGTCAAGCAAGAGATTAAACAAACAGAAGAAATAGACAATATTTTACTACTGTCTACATGTATGTCAAGTAGAACGAAGTGCCAATAGACAGACACATTTCTCGTTTAGTGATTCGTGACTAACTCAGCCTCTGAATTTGACGCAAAGCAAATAATTTTTTTCATAGATTATATCTGTTTGCTATTTTAAGTATTTAATATTTAATATCATATGTTTACATCATAGACTTCTCCAAAATATTTTTCAAATTGGTGTCGTTTAAAATATAATAGGAAACTTTTCTATGTATTTAATTTATACTATTTTTAAATTATTTTTCGTATGATTTATTACTACACGATATTTTAATTTCATACTTTTAAAGCATTTTATAGATTTGAAGTATACTACACGTCCAGATTTATTGTTTCCTTTTCACGTAATTATTAAAATTTTACTTTTATTTTTACTCAGATCAGTTAAATAGAAATAATGTTTTGTCACACTGCTTACCTTTGTTCCCACCTGCATACCAGTTACATTTTGACTAATAAGAGAGAGATCATGCCCTTGGTATTACATATACATTATTATCAATCCGATCATTCTTAGAACTTACGAAATTTGCATAAATAAGCTATTGCAAATAGAACATTATTTTTTAAGGAAAAAAATAAATAATTAACGTAATAATTAACTTGATAATTATTTTCGTTCATTTAATAAAATTTTTTTTAATAAACTGGAATTAGATACACAATTAATGAAAAACATATATTTTTGACAATATTCTGATAATAATAAATATTTTAGGTCCTAAATAGATCGATCAAGATTTACGAGGAAAGATTTTTAAATCCGAATTCATAATCACTTGTTTCACACTTCTGTCGCAGATGATGAAGTTCAAGCAACAAGGCCTAGTCGCTGATTTGGCGCCCAACATCACATTAATGAAAATATTTGGACATTTTTTGTTCAATTACTACAATGACAACTCTTCGAAGTTCTTACACAAGGTCTTCTGCATTGTAAGTCAAACACGTTGATCAACATACACTTTATTAAAATAAACATTATCTGAATATTAAGATCTGTTCTCTAAATTATTTACAAAATTCGATAGTAGAACACATTTCGTTGTATTTATTTAAAAATTTTGACTTTTGAAAAATCGTTTCAACTCTTTAGCGATGACGTCGGTACGGGGTAATGACTCTGGTACCGTTCCTAGTTCTTTTACTTCTTTTTTTACTACTTAATACTATTCTTACCAGTCTTTTATATATACCTATTTCCACCGAGAGGAAATTTAATGAAATCTATTTAATTACTTAATATAATCTAATAAAAACATACACACACAACATAATCAATAATTTAGAAATTAATTTTCTACTTTCTAAAATTAATCCTTAAAAAACAAGAATAGTCTATTTTACCAATTTATATCAATTCAATAATATTTCATCGGTAATCAAACTTGTCGTTTACTAGTATGCATGCAGTCTTAAAAGGAAGACGATGCTATGTAATACGCAAAATAAATTAATGAATTGATTATACGAAATAACAAGAAAATATAATTTTTTTCTAACTATTCTTTATATGAGGGTCACTTGAACACTCTCGGTTTTTTGTATTATTTACTTTTCTTTCTGCTCCTATAAGTGTTAAAAACAACTTGAAAAATATTTTTAAAAATCAGAATTATCATCAAATTATGGTAGTATCTGTAAGGAAAGACGAAGTCAAAAGAAATGAAAGAAACTGAGAATTCGGTGTTGTTTCTGAATGGTTAATTAAGAATTGTAAAACGTTCATAAATTCCATAAACTGCACCATCGAATTAATGATCCCCAGATACACCTCATGCTGATCATACTGCAGTTCGGACTTTGTGGTTTAAATCTAATGTTCGAGAGCGGCGACGTCGACGTATTGACTGCAAACACGATCACGATGCTCTTCTTCACGCACAGTGTAGTCAAATTGGTTTATTTCGCGGTGAGGACAAAACCGTTTTACAAAACATTCGGCATATGGAACAACCCCAACAGCCATCCTTTGTTCGCCGAGAGCAACGCTCGGTATCACCAGTTAGCTATAAAGAAGATGAGAATATTGTTGCTAGCCGTTATGGGGTCCACGGTGTTGTCTACGATTTCATGGACCACGATCACGTTCATCGGTGATTCGGTGAAGAAAGTCATCGATCCTGTTACTAATGAAACCAGCTTCGTCGAGGTAATGTCTAATGTACAATTTATTCTGGTTCACAATTAACTTACTTAGTACCTAACCTCCGAAAGATCAGATCTGTGATCTTTGCCATACACATAAATACCTTAAGACGATATTTCGGCTCTTTTTACGCAATACAACTGAATATGTGATTTACTGAAAAATGTTTATTGTTTTTTTTATTAAAAATACGTAATTTATATGTATAATAGTAATATTAGTAATATAGTAATATAGTAATATTATATTGATATTAAATTGCATGTATAAAGTTAATATTATACTATATAAGTTTAATTTCGTATTTGTAAATAGTACCCAGAAAAATTGCACCATACGAATTAATTAGTAACCATGGATTAGTATTTTCTCGCTTATAGTGTTATTAAAAAAAAATTATATTCATACGAAGTAACTTTTACATAAACAAAAGATCATTTATAAAATCAAGACAATCGTTTTTCTTTATTTTTCCAGGTACCGAGACTTATGGTGCCATCTTGGTACCCATATGATGCTAGCCACGGAATGGCACACATCATGACGCTCATATTCCAGTTCTACTTTCTGCTATTCTGCATGGCCGATGCGAATCTTCTCGACACGTTGTTCTGTTCGTGGCTTCTTTTCGCATGCGAGCAAATTCAGCACTTGAAGAACATCATGAAACCGTTGATGGAATTCAGCGCAACGTTGGATACAGTTGTACCGAACAGTGGTGAATTATTTAAGGTAATCCTGTATTTTTTTTTATAAAAGTTGACGAAACACGGTTAAAATCGCGGTTAACAGAAATCTTAGTAAACAGAGATTAAAAAATTGGTGCTTTATACTCTTTTGATCACGTTCCTTTGACTGCGAATCATTTGAAATTTTCCAGGTCAATTCGAACATTTCTGATACGGTAAAATAGATAAGCCTACTTTGTTCGAAAACTTTTTCGAAACTCTCAAAACTTGGGGTACTGATGTTATTTTGTTTTAAAAATTAAGGCTAACATTTCTATACAAATATTTACTGACCCATAATAAAATACGAACAAAAACATAGCATAAATGATTCCTTATTCATTGATTTCATGTCTTTTTTTAACTGATTTTCGAGAGTTTCAAAATCCAGAAACGCGAATGTATTTTTAGGTTTTTAGGCTTAGACGTTATAAGTAACTCATTTTTAGTTGAAACAGATATGTTGTATCTCGATCGTTCCACGATCGATGAAACGGTGATCAATTGTCTTTACCAGGCCGGCAGTGCGAAACATATGCCGGAAGTAGACCCGCCACCACCAGTCTCACCACTGCCAGCTAATGACAGCATGTTGGACATGGATCTTCGAAGGATTTACAACAACCGACAAGATTTTACGTCAACTTTCCGAGCGAACGCTGCGGTGAATGGGACGGTTGGACCAAACGGATTGACGAAGAATCAAGAGATGTTGGTCCGAAGCGCTATCAAATATTGGGTAGAGAGGCACAAGCACATCGTCCGGTAAGCAATTTCATTTGTCTTCTTAATTTCGTGCACAATCATCAGCAAAAGTATCTGCCCCTCCATATACAATGACACAATTTATCAGATTAACAATAAAATTAATGATAAATCACAAATTGTTAACTAATGCCCTAGTAGGTAGTTATACATAATTTTTTAGTTAAATCTATTATAACTTAAATTATGATTCAAGGTTTATCATACATAAACTATCACAGTTTAAATTATATCTGGTACTTCGAACTTTAACATTCGTAAAATATATAAATATTATATAAATAGGTGGATGGTTACGAAAAGTGAAATAGAATTAATTAATTTATAAAAAATAAACATGAGGTTTAAAAAGATCCCATGTAAAAAGCCCATCAAAAGCATATACCAAATTTTAATAAAATCAGTCCGTTAGTTCTAATAAATATCGACTATGAACACATTATTCTGAGAAGTTTACTTTTGAAATTTTACTTTTTCTTTCTTTTTTGCGTGTATATGTTAAATCATCGGTTTCTAGAGCACATATATAGTTCAGCTTCCGCGGATGCTGCGGCTACCAAATGATTTTGTTTTAATTGTTTCAACAACGTCCTCTCCATCTTGGTCTTGCAGTTGCGCGTTGCACCAAGGTTATGCATTGACTGTCTTCGAAAACACTTCTCTGATGTGCGCTGAACGCTGTGCTAATTTACATTGCTGCATTATTTTCACTAACGATCTCGTTCCATCCTTGAACAGACATGTAATACATAATTTGCACTATATACTTTACCTATGGTACTTGTTTCTTGCTCTTATATCGGTTGTATTCTTTTGTGCAACATTCTAATAACTTGTTCTAACTGAAATCTCCCTAAAAAAACGTACATGTGTGATCTATTAAGTAAGAAAGTACTTACTATCACTCCTGATATCTACTTTCTGTAATTATCAAAATAGTGACAGATGTTTCTTGAAAAATTATTTAAAAAATTGATTTATCAACTCGGTAGTTTTAATGTTAAAGACAGTAATAGTTGGTTCTTCCAGATGAAATTTGTGTTTGGAAATTTTCTTTATTAAGCTGCTGAGTCAAATTGCATTTTTCACTTGTTCTGTTGGAAAGAATAAATTATCGAATTTCTGCACGATGATATTTGTTGGAATTTATATGGACGACAGTGGTCCAAAGAACATTCGACACACGTGTGTCTTATTTCATCTTCATTGATATCGAAGGGGAAAGCGCAATCCGTAAAGCGTAGAGATAAAATATTTTCGTTTCAGTATCTCAAGAATTAGAAGGTAGAATTAAGTAATCGAATAAGAAAATTGAATGAAGTCACTTCTAAATGTGAATAACCATACAATCGAGAAACAGTTCCGTTTTGAAACGTACGATCAATTTTCAAAATGTTCACACGATTTGATCGGTCTTATATCGAAATAACGAATAGATTTTTTTTTACCAGACTAAAAGTCGAAGTTTCGGAAATTCACGATTAGCGAGCTTAAATTACAACACGTCGTAATTTCGAAGTTCATCACCATGACGGACGTCTTGACGACAGCATAACCTAGTTTCCCATTTCGATTCCCAGTCGGAGTCCGCTTCTACATGGAAACGTAATCTACGACGACAATGAGAGGTCCCCTCCGCTTTCGCGAACCTAACAATGAGAGACTTCCATTAGGATAATAATCTCTGCCAGATGCAAACGTGAATTCCAGCAACTTTATTATACCCTTACCCTTTTGCGCTCACTATCACAATTGTGTCTTGCATCACGTAGACACTATATAATATTATACTATATAAATAAATTACCCTATCTAAATAAATAATATTTAAAATTAGTAAGTTACTCTTGAAACGAATTTGTTTGGTCGAAATAAAGACCATTGCTATTTCTATACATTTCCGATGGAATGTGACCTGTTTTATTTGATTCATATATAAACCTGAAGTTCTACAATCAATAAATTCTTTACAGGTCACTTTCGGCCTTGTTGAATTTACTTAAAAAATTTGGACCTGAAAGCGAAAGCGCAACTGTTACAGATGCCATTTTAAAATGGTACATTGCAGATTAAACGTTGTTTAAACATTTAAAGCGTGAAAAGCTCTAAATATTGAACTATTGAAAATTGCAATTTACATCTAGACAATGAAACAAAAACATCTAAGACAATTGGTTTTATTCATATTAATTCTAAATGGTAACTATTGTAGGTTTATTCATGAACTGCTTAAACATGCTGAACGCTTCTTTAGAGTTTATCGAGTCATAGAATGTATGGTACTATTTGTCAATTAGAATTTGTGGAACTTTCTTCGAAACATTACAAAATGTAGTAGAACAAAAACAGCTATTATTACTATATACACGAAAATTAAGAAAACTATTCATTGATACATTGGACTTTATATAATATAAAACTTTATATAACAATGTTGAATTTATCTCGTTGTAAATAATTAAATAATGATGAAACAGGAACATATTATATGTATAAGGGATTAACAAAGTACAAACGAATATTTATAAAATACATGTACGTAAGAAAAGAAATGTGTTCTCTACATAAAATGTTTAAATTTCTCCAATTATCGCGTGAATATTTTATTTTCTGTACTTCCAAAACGTTGACAATTACACCCAAAATGAGCTGCACTTTTAATAAAGTATTCAGTAACAGAAATTTCTGGAAGTTAAACACACGCATAAAAAGTCAATATTTCGATTACTCGAGGTTTTCAGTTATCCGCCGGAACAAATTGATTTTCAAAATTCTTCGGTAATCTACGTGTAAAATAGAGAATGAAAAATTTGCAGTCATTTCAGAAAATGGAATTCTATTATATTTATATGTTAATAAAACTTCTTTCCTTTTCATTATTTATTTATTTCATTCATTTGTTTTATTTTGAATACTAAAAATTTACATTTATACTTTTAATTCGAGGAAAAGAATTGAAAAAAATCAAATACCCACCCCTAACACCGACTTTCAATTGAACCGAAAAATTTTCTAAATATTTCTTTCATTACTTATATTGATAAAGAAACATTTTATGCAGCTGTACAAGAAAGATGATATATTTTCTCAATAAAAACATTAGAAAATATAATAAGCAGTATTCCAAAGTGACTGACAAGCGATAGATAATAAAGGAGGTCATACGAAATATTAATGCTAATATCCATGGGCGTATCAAAAATATAATTATTTTGTCATACGAAACATACAATTATCTCATGTTCGGTACTGTATATGAAGTATAATTCGCCTATACGCTTCAATTATAAATTACATATACTATCAAAAACCAATCATCGTTCGGTATAATTATAGTGCTTTCCCCTGTTCTTTGTCTCTTAATCTTCTGTACGTCCTTCACTGCATAGTCCATGTTAGCAAGATGTCCAAGAAAATGAAATAAAATGTAACAAACCGAAAAGGAAAACGAATAGAACTGAAACGAGGTGTAAAAGACGAAAACGAAAGTTCACGATAAATCGGAAGGTTAGGCTCCAATGGCCGACCGGGAAGATGCAACGGGTAAAAATCAGTTTCCCCGGTTTAAAAGAAAGGGAATCTTTGAAAACGATGGTAACAGATAAGTCGATGCAGTTGTCTAAGGCTTGAAGTAAGTTTCAGAGGGAACGAAGGTATCGCGCGGCATTTCCTATAGATTCTTCGGAAACGGAGAAACAGGGGATGCGTGTATTCCCACGGTAGTGAAGTATTTATTCTAAGAGAGCGCGATATTGACCGCAACTGGGGACGTACCGTGCGGACTGGACAATTTATTGGACAATTCAGAGGTTGTACGCTCACGTTCACGTGTACTCCGGTATACGTGTCTAACACGTGTATTTACACGTTCTTTTCTTTTTCGCGGACAACAGATAGCATTCGGAACGCGATTGACGTTTACCCTTCGACCCCGATACGGGCAACAAAAAGAAGAGATATTTTCTGAGAAGATGCACGAAAACCTGTTGCTGAACGTATCAAACACAATGTCCATCAAAATGGTTCTTATCAAAATTTTAATGAAATCGAAGTGATTTCTTTTTTTCTTTTCATTTATCAGTTGTTTAAAGTTGCATCAACCCTTTCCATGGGTTATTAGCAGGGATTGAGAAGCTTCCGAAAAGAATTGTTTGAAACTGTTATATATCGATTCCGACTGAAAGAGTTGTAAAGAATCGGAACAAGTCATAACTGTTATTCGGTATATCGGTTTAGGTTACGGTTCTTCAAAACTGATATTGTATCGGTTCCGAAACGGTTCTATGGCTGTTGTTTTTCAATTCTTCATTTCAGTTCTGCATTTCAGTTGTTTATAACTGTTTATTAACTGTTATATTTCGGTTTTTCATTTCGGTTCGTCATAACTGTTTCTAGAGTCGAAAAATAACAGTTATAGAACTGTTTCAAAATAATAAAGGTTTTCAATCCTTGGTTATTAACGACTTGTGACAGCTTGTAGACTACTGTACAAGTTGGAATGCTTTAGGTAATGCAGTAAATTTGGAGTGGATTTCTTGCCCTGTAAGTTGTCGCTCGAAGAAGGTTGTATGTTGATTCGTTATCTGTTCGTGGTTCGTTCCTTATAGTGTGAGATGATGTGTTCCATTGTCAGCTAGAATTTATAGAAATTGCAGGTTGGATGGCCTTCTTTGTTTAGGAGATACTGGTGGATGAGATTTGTGTGTCCTGTTACTAATCTTGAAGTTATGAATTGATCGTGTCTAGGTAGGGTACCCCATGGACCATCTATCATTCTATTCTCAATTGTACTCAACAGAACAAAATTACTGTTCATAAATAATTAGAAAAAGAAAACAATTCCACGTTTGTTCCAAGGCACTATTATTGATAATAGGAAAATAACATTTAATTCGAGAATTTGCTTTCTTGGAAAATTAAATTAGTAAAAAATAGTATCTACATAACAAAAGAAAGCGATTTTCACAGTGAAATGGAATGTACGATGATATTTTCCAATAAAATAATTTAATTCTGAGAATGGATTTTATTCTTAGACGAGAGGAAATGAAATATATTTCAATTAGACGACTGTATAATAGTACGAATAAAATATAATAGAGAAACGGATTTAAAACACGCTTAACCTACGGTGAAATGCCGCTTAGTTGTAACGGCTATTTATTGATCGAATAATCGGTCCAAGTGTTTACTTAAATACTTTAAAAGGAAAATTGAGAAAAAGTACAGTAACCTATGCAGTATTTATTTTCTTACGTTTGTCCGCATATTGAAGACACTTTTTCAAGGTTAGATTGTATCGTTAAACTAATGAAGAATATACATGACTGCATAAAATTTGCATAGATATACACTGTGTTGGATTCAATACCACTGTGTTGTACCAAATTTTCTTTTATCTACAATTATTTAACAGTCACGCTCACTTCCAATCTTTGATCTTTAATAAAGGTTACGAACTATTTCATTGTGTTACTGGAATTTATATAATTATGAATACTCGTAATTTCTTTTATCAATAAAAAATATTGAAGTAAATACATGTGTTTAGACAATTGCTCTTATTAATCCCTCTAATATTTTCTTTGTACAGATTGGTTACTGCAGTCGGAGACGCATATGGAGTTGCTTTACTGCTACACATGTTGACTACTACGATCACGTTAACACTGCTCGCTTACCAAGCTACCAAAGTATGTAATCGTAAATAATTTAAATATAACTTAAAAAATATTGAATTCTTAAACGAACTAAGATTGATATTAATTATATAGATGTCACGAATATAATTTTTAATATCTTTGTCTGTACTTTGCAAGTAAAGTTAATTTCCTTTAATCAACTTATAGATCAATGGTATTAACACATACTCAGCCTCAGTTATTGGATATTTGCTGTACTCCCTTGGTCAAGTATTCATGTTATGCATATTTGGAAATCGTCTAATTGAAGAGGTACGTAGAATCGATAAAACATTTGACTGCTTGCTGTTAAATTGAACTAATTTAAAGTTTAACTGTCAAATTTGGGATTCGAAATTTTAAATTCATCGTGTTTATTCAGCTAATTTCACATTAAACACGTCGAATATTTTAAATTCAATTAACTTCTTAAATTCTAGTAAAATATTTTACGTGTATACTTCTGAAATGTTATAATGCAAGAAACAATAATAAGGAAACATGGTTTAAATGAGTATTAAGAACTATTATTCAATTATTTTGATTTTTCTGTTGGTTTTGTCGACAGAGCTCATCGGTGATGGAAGCTGCTTACTCTTGTCACTGGTACGATGGATCAGAAGAAGCGAAAACGTTCGTACAAATTGTCTGCCAACAGTGTCAGAAGGCAATGTCTATATCAGGGGCGAAATTCTTCACAGTATCTTTAGATCTGTTCGCCTCGGTAAGATTATGTATTTCGATTTTTTGATACCTAAAAAATGATTTTTACATATTCCAGCAGTTTATATTGTAAATTTAAATTGAACCAATTTGCAAGATCAATATTTTATTCTTTAATAATTGATAAATTAAATTCGATAATCAGGTTAGTTTGAAAATTAAAGTGTAAGAATGTTACAAATTATAAATTGAACTCTGTTATTATTATATTCAATATTCACGTTGTGTCAGTCAGATAAACTCAACGGTTAAAACGTTTATTGAATTTTCACTGTATTATCATCTTTCCACAAAAATGATGAAACTGCTCATTTATAAACTTAATATATATTATTATTACAATATATGACATTAGTATACTTTGATAGATATTTTTATAAATTATAATTTAAATTTCAAACTTTATAGGTATTGGGAGCTATGGTTACTTACTTCATGGTGTTGGTGCAACTGAAGTGAATTCTTCAAATAAACCATTCCAAGAATGATTGTAAATGTTGGAATGTTCGAATATGTCTGGTTATCAGAGTCAAATACGAATTTCATATTTCGTGGTTCGTAATGATTTTGATAAAAGACTCGTAAGACTTGAAGTGAACAATGAGACTGTAGAACACTGTGAACTTGTAAATTATTAAAACTTACAACATTTGAACCAAATGATATGCAAAATCTCAAGATACAAAGAATGTCCGAAATCGTGGTACAATCGAAAAAAAATTGACTTCACAAGAAAAAACAGGTCGAACAGGATGCTCGATGAGTCGAATTAACAACTATAAACAAATGCATCTGATCACCATTTCAGTTAGACAATATCGTTATTGTTTCATATAAATGAAACTTGATATGCAAAAACCTTGGTTTGTAATTTTGAATGATTTTTTAATTAAGAATCTCTTTCTTTTCGGTTGAACCAATATTGCTTGGACACCATATATTAATGTAATGAAAATTATTTGACCTTAAACGGCATTATATACAGTTATAATCAAAACTATGGTTCTAACAATAAAAGTTTCACACTTCTCCCTTTTTCGAAACATTTAATACATTACATTAAAATTATTTGATTGGGTAAACATTATAATTTAAATACATTTTCGAATGCTTTTTAAAATAATTATATCATTTTATTTTTATATACATACAATCTTTATCTGATTTCTTATAATATGAAAACGTTTTTAACAGCTGCAAAAAAAGGGAAGCGTGAAATACCAACTATAAATACATGTCATATATAGTATGTAGGTATATACTCAGTACATATTAAACTACTAAACTAATATTATAAAATAAATTTTTACCTTAATAAAACTGTATCTTAATTTAGTAACAAAGTTATTGCAGAAACAGAAATTGTCAAATAGTTGTATCTTTAACTGTAAGAAAACATAAAAAGGGAAACAATATTCTCGCAAATTTTAAACATAAA